TTTTTTTTTTTTGGGCGGTGCGGGAGGAGTTCAGTTTCAGTTCTCCTGACTTTCACAGCAGACACCCCCTCAGCTTACCTTCTCTTGCCAGAAAAAAAATCATGAGAGGAGGCATGGATCGTGCTTTTTTTTTTTTCGAGCCGTGGCCCGCGCTCTTGGAACGGCCGGGCCCTTTCGAAAAAAAAAACCGCGAGGGAGCGGGTGGGCTTGGCCTCTGCACGGCTCAGCACCAGCTGCGGGCGCTGAGGCCAAGTTGGTAATGCCAAGCTGCTCGTGGGCTTGCCACCCTAGCCCGCTCGATCCAGCCGCTCCTCTGTGCTGCTCATACCTCCATCATCACCACCTTTCTCTACCACATCTGCTCTCGAAGCACGTTGCTCTGCTGAAGAGAGCATTCGGTGGCGTCGCTTATAGTCGCTTTCCTCAGCTCGGAACGAAACGTTGCCGCATTCTTACCTTCCTTGCTGACCCGATCAGCATCTTTACGAGTCCGTCCCACCGGACTAGCACACACACCGTCTTCTCGATCGACGCAAGCTCGATATGGGGTCACTCTGAGTGCAGAACCTGCCTCCATCTCACTCTCGAGAACAGCCTCGTTCCGACACCTTCATCATCCTCGGCAGACGTCTGGCGGCGCTAGCGTCCACCCTACCCGCAGCCTCCGCTTCCGACCGGACGAGTGACTCCCACCCAACCTCATCGCCCTCCTCGCATTCCAAGCGTATACCCAGTCATGAGCAGAGCACCTCCTCTGATGCCGAGCTCGTCCGGCTCGCACACCTACTCGTCGCCCAAGCTCGGTGCGGCGGCTATCTACAGCACCAGCTCCCCGACCGGCTCGCCACGGCCGTACTTTGCGCAGCATCTGCCCGGCACCCTTTCGCCGTATCGCGATGCATCCTCGCGCTACGCTCATCTCGGTAGCCCACGCATCAGCTCGCTCAGCCGTGATGCCACCGCAGCATTGAAGGCGAGCAGCTACCCCACATCATCTTCTCGACCTACCTCTCCCACCCCGGGCTCGCGATCGCCATCGCCCAGCAGCGACAGCGATGCCTCTGATGCCTCTGTCTCTCGCGAGTCTCTTGCAACCAGCCAACAGCACCATCACGACTCGCGCGAACACGCACATCCGCCGCTCAGCAGGCACGACTCTTCCGGGCGTGGCGACTCGCAGTACCCGCGACACGATGGTCACGACGAACCTGGCACCTCCGCATCGGCCAAAGGGACGTCCGCCGATTCTCCCAACAGCCTCAGGCGTGCACACCAGCTGCAGCCAATAGATACCAAAAGTGAGTACTTGTACATCTCGACATGGTCGCCGCCGCTTTGCCCTTTTGCTCGTCAACCACTGCCCACCCCATCCGACTTCGAGCCAGCTTGCTCGAGATGACCATTCGAACGACCCGCTCCGACCGGCCCGTTCAGTCTGCATGTTGCTACCTGCCGTAGCCAGGCAGCCCGGTGCGGTCTCGCAAGCGGCGGACATCCCGCTGCCAACCGGTTTGCATTGTCCGCACTCCCGCAACAAGGTTTGACCCACCGCGTTATTCGTGGCGAACCTTGCTGCTCGGACCTGGCCGTTATGCAGAGTCCGGGACAATTCGCGCGCAGAAGCACATAGAGTGGCGCTGCAGGGCCCTGCATTGCAAGCTGTGCTGTTTGGCGGCAGTAGTTTGTCATCGTTGCCGACGACGCTGTCTCTCGACTGAAGCACCAATGACATTGGACTGCTAGCCGGCAGGGACTCCTGCACGCTCTTCCTTGCCCGTAACGTGGCATTGCTGTCTCGTGCCTTGCCGGGGTGGACCGAGCCAGTTTCTCGCTGCCCCTTCGACCCGCTCGCACCGACGCTGGCGCAATTGACCGCCCGCCACCTTACGCCGATTGGATTGGTGGTAGCGGGTTGCATGCAAGTCGAGCGACATCATGTCGACCTGCACGCACTGCTGCCGCATAAGCTTGGCTTTCGTGCAGATGCGGCGCGTGGTGCTCTCTCCCGCTCTCTCTCACACACTCCCTTCTCCGGCGATTTCGAGCCCATCAGAACAACGTTGGCTCCATGAGCAGCTACACTTGCGAGCTTGTCGTTGGCGAGCTTTGCACAGAGCCGTTGTCGCTCGGCTTGGCAGTGCCTGTTCAGAGATGCAAGGCTGCCGAGCGTCGGATGATGCCAAGCGTGCACGATAGTCGGCTCAGCGTGTTTGGCCCGCATTCGCAGTCGCATGAAAGGCATCGTCGACGCGCTCCCAAGCCGGATCGGCTCGGAGTGTAGCGTAGCCTCGCGGATGTGATGCTACTGTATGCTTTGGCTCGGCTCGAGGCGAGCTTACAGGAGCTGCACGTCGTTCTTCACACCTGCACGCGTGCAGGATGTGCGCAACGGCGGCGGGAGCGCAGCCAAGTGGCGGCTCGGTTTGCTGTTGGCGCCCAGCGGGGATTTTCTAATTTCGCACGCGTCAAGTCTGCTCTGATCTTGCGCCTGGACTCACTTGGGCCGACTGACGCTCTCGGCCTCGGTGGCTTTTTGCGCGTGAGCCAGTGTGGCGCGGCAGTGCCGAAGCAGCGACACGCCCAAAATGCCCACTGCTCCCACGCCGCTGCATCGCATCGCTTCGATGCAGCGTGACCCCTTTGGCTGCACGCGCCGCCTGCTGCGTCCCCTCGCTGCAACCTTGGCTTCGCCTTGCCTTGCCTTGCCTTCCCTTGCCTTGCCTTGCCTTG